AGTACATGTATCACATGTCGTGGGAGAACACAAAATAATTAAAATTAATGTTTCAGAATAGTTTCATTGTTACCTTCACCCTGTGGGCAAGTTCATGTTTAAAGAAACAAGATGACAAAGGATGATATATAGTAAAAAAAATTGAAAACTTGTGAACACATTCACATTCACCAACAAGACCAAAATCACAACGATGATCGTGCTGAGGGCAGACACAAAAATGTCTGGTCTTTTTATTGCAGCAAATTACAACAGGATTGCTTTCTTACTTAATCTGTAAATGTATCTGACCTCATTTCCTCCTAAGTTAAATGTGGTTTGGTTTGCAGCTCACTGGCTTCACAGCTTCCACCTGCACATAAAAAAACTGATTTTAGTTTTAAACCTCTAGAGTTTTAACTTAACAGTAGACATTATTTGATAAATTGAGGCTGATTGTCATTCTAATTGGTTGTTCTGCATTCATGAAACCCAGTAATCCATGAAGAGGTACATTTGGAAGGTGACTGACTTGATTATACAGCTCCGAATTTTTTTGTTGAAATCAATCATTGTGTATAAAAAAAGTAATTTATTTGGTTTTAAAAGTTTGTTTTGTCTATCACGAGCTGCCCTCCCAATATCTAGGTTCCATTTCCCATGGCCAGATTGTTCACGCCTTGCTGGAAAGAGGTTGTATATGTGTCAGCAGTGGATCTGTGACAGTTTTCTTTCAGCTTCCCAGTTTATGTAGTCGTGGGTAAAGCATCACTGCTTCATATCCTTCAGTGAACACATACACACTCCCCCTCTCTCGCTGACGCAGTTATAAAACCAAAATGGGAGCTTGTCCATCTTCAGCCTCGTCCACTCACTGTGTAAAATGTCAACAAGTTTATCCCCCTCCCAAAAAAATCGAAAGTTTGAAAATGTACTGTGTCGTTACCCTGGAATGTATTGTTTTCACACAGCCACAGCTCGGTGGACATAGCCTTGTTCACACTGAGTGCACATCTGGCTTTCGGGCAGCGTGAGGCGAACGCTGGCGAGCTCGAGCTACTGACCACCAATCCCCTGCGTGGTTACTGTCCAGAGGAACACGGGGGGCACGCTGCTGAAGGGTCTGTTTTGTTCTCCTCGGAAACAGTACGCTGAAGACCCCCGGCCTTACACGGCTGGCAGCTGAAAGTGAGAGAGTTGGCATGGCAGATTACAACTCTGTGCTTATACTACAAAAATGATGCCTAGTACAATATCCTGCTCTGGTTTTCACCAAGGTCTGGAAATCTCGTGCACACCGGAGTAGATCTCCTCCTCTTTCTACCCCACCTCCTCCTCCTCTTCCCTTGCCAACACAAACAGCAATTATGGGCTGGCTCAGACAGCCCCCTGAAAGAAGTAGGTTCTTGTCTGGGGGGAAAGCAACCAATTAGCAGCATTGTTCGAACAAAAAAAAAAAGAGGAAAAAAAGGGCAAGAGAGATTCCTTTAATTTAACTTGTCTGGTCCTGCTCCATGGGGTGAAAAGTCCTCCATGACCCGGTGCCACTGAGAGAATCAGCGTGTTAATTTTCTCTCACCGTGGGATCCGCTGACATCTGGCTCTGCCACGGAAGCTGGAAAACATGTTTAATATTCTCATGACGATCCCGCGGATCTGTGGAAAACATCCTGAGACCCTAAGTCCATAATGAATCTGAAAAACCGAAGGTCTGGATTCATCGTTTTTTTTTTTTTTACAGTGTTGAAACAAAGGCTCGGTACATTTAATATGGAGAGTCGCAACTGTTTTATCTCTTTGTGTAACGTCTGCTTTCAGAGGAGGTTGAAAGTAAATGTGAATGATTGAACTCGGCCTGTCAGTATTAGATTACATAAAGCAGGAGCAGCATTAAAAAAAAAAAAAAATAGAATCAAATTAAATAAGTAATGCATCATAGATTTTCATGTGGAGACCAGATTCTTGTAGTCAATGAAAAAATTACAAAAGGAAAGAAACGGAACATATTCCGTCTTCGATATAGATCCTGAGCATCCGTAGAACCACAGATGTATTCGTACATGTGAAAGACAATTGCCATCAATGATCAATTGCATTAACAGCACATTAGAACGGTAACGTTACAATTCCTGAATTGTTGGCGTGATGTAAGTGGACACCTTCCAGCCAAGGAACAAATGCCTTTCTCAATGTGGCAAGAAAAATGAATCCCCACGGTTCAGGGGCAGAGCACAGTGCTGTAAAAACATGAGTAACCAGGGGAATCAGAACCATATGAAATGTTCTGTTCAGCATGTATAATGTTCCTCTTATATGAGACGAGGCCGTAATTATGTGGTGCTGGTGTTTTGAGCTGACAAAGAGGATGACTAAGCCGTACTGTGGGACATACCGTGCCCACTCATCTTCAAAACACAAGCTCACAGTTCTCCTGAACAGCTGTAAGACACGACCGCAGCTATTGGGGAGGCTGCGGCTAGAACAATTCAGCAGGAACAAGGAGCTTTGTTCCTGGATTATTTTATTTTTTTACCTGAGGTGAAGTTTACGTGGAGTTGCTGAATGTCTCTGCTGTGCCCCCCTTTCAGATGGGGGTCTGCGTGGTGGACTCGGCAGTAGCCGGCCTGGGAGGCTGCCCGTACGCTCAGGGTTCGTCTGGCAATGTTTCAACAGAGGATGTTCTCTACATGCTAAGTGGCATGGGCATTGAAACAGTGAGTATGTCTTTACAGTGCACTCTCACAGAGCTGCTGGTATTTTATGTCTTTATAATCCCAACACATCAGCTGAATTCCCACAGTCACCCAGAGCTTATTTACACTAAAAGATCCCTGTGCTCTGAACAGGTTTATTTTATAATATCTGTGGTTTCACACAACTTGAACAATGTCCTCAGTGTCACATGCACCTCTTCAGGAACAATTTATTTAACAAGTCCTACCCCTGCTGGTGGAAAACCTTCACTACACTTTAGTTTCCTGTCTCGTGTTGCACACAATCACACCTTCTGTTCATCTCGCCCACATCATTCCATTTGAAGTGATGCTATGATAAATATTTTTTGCAGGGTGTGAACCTTGCCAAAGTGATGGAGGCTGGTGATTTTATCTGCAGCGCTTTAAGTCGCCAGACAAACTCCAAGGTTGCTCAGGCCAGGGGCAGAACACTGTGACGCCGCTGGGATGAAGGATTTCCCATTTAAAAGTGCTTCCCCTGTTGTTGCTGCCTTTCGGTTTCTTGACCATGCTGCTGTATTTAAAAATTCCTGGTCTGAAACGGATACTTGCATGATTTGTGCTTTAAAACCAGCTCCTTTGTTTCCAGTTTCCTATTTTTCTTATTCTATTCAACATTATGTTGCAGAACTATCATTTTTGCTTAATTTCTGATCTGTATTGTTGGACATTACCAAAGAACAAGGACAGGTCACATCAGCTTGAAAGTATCCAGAGGGAGATGAGGACAACATCAAGTCTTCATCAACCAAGGTTTCAAGACTGATGACTTGATGTGTCGAAGGACACATTCTGGCCTTTTACAGGTGGAATGTTTTTTAAATTCTTACATTTATTCGACTCTGACAAATAAACCCAGTGAACATCAGTGACTTTTATCACTTTGCAAAGCTCAGTGGCCTTAAAAACTAAAAAGCAAGAAGATGAAAATCTAATTTCCTAATTACTCTTGCGTTGGTTATTGGCTGATCTCAGTTTATAAATGTTTCATTTGAATGAACAGAGAAGATGGAGTACATGAGAAAACATCCTTTCTCTTTAGATATGATAATCTATGATAATAGATTGTTATGCAGAAAACCTCTCAAAAGATTATCAGCTTTACCTCCCTGTTGAGATTCTGCATGAATAGTAATTTAATAAAATAAATGATTACCACTGAAAAGTGTTTGCCCTCAGGTGTCCCAAAGAGGATTTAAGAAGTGCCCCTTGATTGTTTTTTTTTTTTGCCATTAAATAGAAATTACCATTGCATAAGCTATTGATTGTGTGAAAGTCAAATGTGGTTGTATTTTATCTGTGTTTCAAATGTGCTCTGTGTAAAACATCATGTGATCCTGAATTTTAAAGAACTTTATCTAAAGTGATGTGACAGTGGAATAATTCCATTTATGTTGTATCATATAGAACAATTCTAATTGCTCATCTGGTAATTTTATATCATCTAAATAAAGGAAAAAGAAAAAGGCTGTGTGGTGAATGTCTCTGTCCTCAGGGCTCAGTACACTTCTGGTTTTCTATCCACATAAGCTAATTGTCATCAATTGTATTTGCCTTATGTCCCTGTAGTAAATCAGTATAGGCCTAATTACAATACCACAATGAAAGAAGAGTGGACTCAGGGACTGAAATATAAATAAAACTCAACTCAAATGAATTTAGGGAGCGGATTACTGGAACATTTGCATAAATGTATTAAAGTGTGACTGATCCATCTTCATCACACATGCAAACATTAATCCATTAAGAAATTGATGCGATTAAAAAAATAAGAATTGATGCAATCAATTTTTCTATGCATGTAGATTGAGGCAAATCAGATGATAGAATAATCCAATAATCAGGAAATGTGTGATTTCTCAGAGGACGGCACTGGAAATAAGGAAATCCTGATTCTTGGAGGTGTGTGACTGAAGCTGTTTCAAAATACTAACATTTGAAGCACTGAGCACAAAGAAACATTTTGCCTGATGGGAATAATCATTGGTTTTGCATGTTTGACCCCACCGTAAACCGAAGTAATGGAAAAATAACAACTATGATTGGATGATGGCGCATCGTGAAAAGTCAGGAGACCTCTAATTCATCAGAACTGTCTCTGATTTTTACATTATCTAGTTGTGTTTTCACCCCAGTCTATTTATTTGTTGGTTTATTTGTAAGCAAGATTACAAAAAATACAGATCACCATGACACTTGGTGGAAGGATATTGTGTGGGTCAGGATTCAAATCCGAAGGGTTAGGGGACAGGAATTTTTTGAAACTTAACACGATTTTCTTTTATGAAAAATAGAGAATAATTCATGAATCTTGATGAGAAAAACCAGGCATGTTTAGGGGACTGATGATTATGAGTGTTTGCAATTTGGTGCAGATCCCAAAAAATTCAAGATCTCGTGAATTTAAATGTGGTTTGAATAAGGGGACTGTTGGCCTTGGCAGATGTATGCACTTCACTGGGTATCATTCTAGTTTCTTAAAAAAGCCCTGCATTATTTCATTGTCACAAAAATATCAAAATTACCAATAATACCGGACTCTTCTACCAAGTTTAAATAAAATTGGATCAGTGGTTTTTACATAATCCTGCTACT